TGGTGAAATGCTATGCCCAAGATTACCATCCGAGTTGCCGTCGGGGAAGTGGCTCAAATAGCCTCGGCTATCACTTCCTTTTGACGGCCGTGATGGTCAAGCGGATTAAGGCGCCCTGTAGTTACCAGTTGCGTTGCTTCTGGGAGTATGGGTTCGAGTCACTTCTGGGGTGTGAGTTTTCATTCGCATATAGTCCTGGGGACCATTCAGGCTTGTTCGCATTTGTGTTCCTCACGTGTGCCCCAAAGAATGAGGTGATTTGGTGAAATGCTATGCCCAAGATTACCATCCGAGTTGCCGTCGGGGAAGTGGCTCAAATAGCCTCGGCTATCACTTCCTTTTGACGGCCGTGATGGTCAAGCGGATTAAGGCGCCCTGTAGTTACCAGTTGCGTTGCTTCTGGGAGTATGGGTTCGAGTCACTTCTGGGGTGTGAGTTTTCATTCGCATATAGTCCTGGGGACCATTCAGGCTTGTTCGCATTTGTGTTCCTCACGTGTGCCCCAAAGAATGAGGTGATTTGGTGAAATGCTATGCCCAAGATTACCATCCGAGTTGCCGTCGGGGAAGTGGCTCAAATAGCCTCGGCTATCACTTCCTTTTGACGGCCGTGATGGTCAAGCGGATTAAGGCGCCCTGTAGTTACCAGTTGCGTTGCTTCTGGGAGTATGGGTTCGAGTCACTTCTGGGGTGTGAGTTTTCATTCGCATATAATATATATATATTTTTCTCTATTTTTTTTTCTTACGAAATGATAAAGCTACCCATTTCATTATGTATGAGGTCAATTTTTTTTTATTGGAGTTAAAATTAACGTAGATATATGACCGAACCTAACCAACCCTACCTAACCTAACCTAACCTATCTCTATAGGTTAAGTTAGGTTAGGTAGCCGAAAAAGTTAGGTTAGGTAGTCGAAAAACATGGCTTATTAGGCAAATCAGGCCTTGCATAGTAGGCTGAGAAGTGCGTTCTGGCTACTAGGTACTATATATATATATATATATATATATATATATATATATATATATATATATATATATATATATATATATATATATATATATATATATATATTATATATATATATATATATATATATATATATATATATATTATATATATATATATATATATATATATATACATATATATATATATATATATATATATATATATATATATATATATATATATATATATATATATATATATATATATATATATATATATATATATATATATATATATATAGTTTGTGAGGGTACCACCTCTGGTGCCAATGTGGGGATCCATAGCCTCGGAGAAGAAAATATAAAGTATTCAGAGGAGACCTTGTGGTTTCTCACTGAACACTAATATTATCTTCTCCTACCACCCCCATTCTTTTGTATGTACACATATATATTTACTTTATTTGAACTTTGTTACAAAAAAGGAGTTACACATGGGTTACAAAGATGGTTATCATAGGTTGTCGAGTTCCTCCAGCTCCTCAGATGGCGGGCAGGAACCCTGGATGCAGTGCGCATTTCCCCTCTGTATCGCAACACTGAGGCGGTGGAAAAGAAAGCTTGCAGCTCCTGGGTCCCTTGTTGTTTCAATGAGCGTAGAACCCAGTTCCTTCAAAAAACTGGTAGCACTTTTACCCCAGGCGCCGAGTGTCTCAGAAGCAATGGGGACAAAATTGTAGTGGTGATCCAGTTCTCTATACTTACGGGATTTGGCTGCTTCCCTGTGGGTGGCAGCGCCACCTGGTTGAGCAACACTGAGGTTAATGTAGGTGTTAGCCAGGGTTGATGCGCACGTGTAGTCCCATATCAACTGCTTGCCATTCTTCCAGGGGTTCACTGTGATACCATCCGGGCGACCAATAAGAGCATCAGAGTTACAGGGCGTTAGGTAACGGGGCTCTCTTTCAGCTGGGCATCCAGCTGTGGTGTCGCTCCTCTTGATGTCGTTAATTTCACTGTGCCTCGAGTGCCATCCCCTTGTGCTTTGGCAGAGTAGGACATGGTGGCCGTACCTGTCAGCCACCACCTCGCTGCAACTAATTATTAGTTAGTTACTAACTAACTAACGTTAACTATATATATATATATATATATATATATATATATATATATATATATATATATATATATATATATATATATATATATATTATATATGTCGTACCTAGTAGCCAGAACGCACTTCTCAGCCTACTATGCAAGGCCCGATTTGCCTAATAAGCCAAGTTTTCATGAATTAATTGTTCTTCGACTACCTAACCTACCTAACCAAACCTAACCTAACTTTTTCGGCTACCTAACCTATAAAGATAGGTTAGGGTAGGCTAGGTAGGGTTGGTTATGTTCGGTCATATATCTACGTTAATTTTAACTCCAATAAAGGAAAATTGACTTCATACATAATGAAATGGGTAGCTTTATCATTTCATATGAAAAAAAATTTGAGAAAATATATAAATTCAGGAAAACTTGGCTTATTAGGCAAATCGCGCCTTGCATAGCAGGCCGAGTACGACGTTCTAGCTACTAGGTACAACATATATATATATATATATATATATATATATATATATATATATATATATATATATATATATATATATATATATATATATATATATATATGTCGTACCTAGTAGCCAGAACGCACTTCTCTGCCTACTATGCAAAGCCCGATTTGCCTAATAAGCCAAGTTTTCATGAATTAATTGATTTTTGACTACCTAACCTACCTAACCTAACATTTTCGGCTACCTAACCTAACCTAACCTATAAAGATAGGTTAGGTTAGGTTAGGTAGGGTTGGTTAGGTTCGGTCATATATCTACGTTAATTTTAACTGCAATAAAAAAAAATTACCTTATACATAATGAAATGAGTAGCTTTATTTCATACGAAAAAAATTAGAGAAAATCAATTAATTCATGAAAACTTGGCTTATTAGGCAAATCGGGCCTTGCATAGTAGGCTGAGAAGTGCGTTCTGGCTACTAGGTACGACATATATATATATATATATATTATATATATATATATATATATATATATATATATATATATATATATATATATAATATATATATATATATATATATATATATATATATATATATGTCGTACCTAGTAGCCAGAACTCACTTCTGAACCTACTATGCAAGGCCTGATTTGCCTAATAAGCCAAGTTTTCATGAATTAATTGCTTTTCGACTACCTAACCAACCTAACCTAACCTAACCTAACTTTTTCGGCTACCTAACCTAACCTAACCTATAAAGATAGGTTAGGTTAGGTTAGGTAGGGTTGGTTAGGTTCGGTCATATATCTACGTTAATTTTAACTCCAATAAAAAAAAAATTGACTTCTTACATAATGAAATGGGTTGCTTTATCATTTCATAAGAAAAAAATTAGAGAAAATATATTAATTCATGAAAACTTGGCTTATTAGGCAAATTGGGCCTTGCATTGTAGGCTGAAAAGTGAGTTCTGGCTACTAGGTACGACATATATATATATATATATATATATATATATATATATATATATATATATGTCGTACCTAATAGCCAGAACGCACTTCTCAGCCTACTATTCAAGGCCCGATTTGCCTAATAAGCCAAGTTTTCATGAATTAATGTTTTTTCGTCTACCTAACCTACCTAACCTAACCTAACCTAGCTTTTTTTGGCTACCTAACCTAACCTTACCTATAAATATAGGTTAGGTTAGGTTAGGTAGGGTTGGTTAGGTTCGGTCATATATCTACGTTAATTTTAACTCCAATAAAAAAAAATTGACCTCATACATAGAGAAAAGGGTTGCTTTATCATTTCATAAGAAAAAAATTATAGTAAATATATTAATTCAGGAAAACTTGGCTTATTAGGCAAATCGGGCCTTGAATAGTAGGCTGAGAAGTGAGTTCTGGCTACTAGGTACGACATATATATATATATATATATATATATATATATATATATATATATATATATATATATATATATTATATATATATATATATATATATATATATATATATATATATATATATGTCGTACCTAGTAGCCAGAACGCACTTCTCAGCCTACTATGCAGGGCCCGATTTGCCTAATAAGCAAGTTTTCATGAATTAATGTTTTTTCGACTACCTAACCTAACCTAACTTATAAAGATAGGTTAGGTTAGGTTAGGTAGGGTTGGTTAAGTTCAGTCATATATCTACGTTAATTTTAACTGCAATAAAAAAAATTGACCTCATACATAATGAAATGGGTAGCTTTATCATTTCATAAGAAAAAAAATAGAGAAAATATATTAATTCAGGAAAACTTGGCTTATTAGGCAAATCGGGCCTTGCATAGTAGGCTGAGAAGTACGTTCTGGCTACTAGGTACGACATATATATATATATATATATATATATATATATATATATATATTTTCCCCCGACACAATGAATTATTATTAATATTTAATTATTATGCTTATATTATTTATATTCAGTTATACATAATTATTAAGACGAACATCATCTTGTCATATACAGTCAACACAATCAATAAGAATACTTTATAATTATCAAAGGAGTCAGTGGCCACATTAAGACGCTGATGGCCACAAGGGCGAGGCTGGAGGGTGTGGCCTCCGGTCCCCCTCTCGTGCATGACGCCAGGTGTTGACTGTAACTGTTGATGTGTGTTTATCTCAGAGCTGGTGTTAATTTATACGTTGATATGTTTGCGTAAATACGGACTCGTGAATGTGCTGGATTTAGTAAGAGATTCAAGAAAATTTGGTACAAGAATATTTTGACATTGTTCTACTAAAATATTAGAGACGTCGCTGGTCCCATCGACCTTCAGTAACTTCGGCCATGATTAAAATGTTTCATTGCTTGGCTGCTGACCTTGTCAGGGTCACGTGACAACATTCTCAGCTCCGGGAAGCTGGAGTATAAAAGGGACAGTCAGTCTCTTCACCTTCACACGCCTTACTTCATCGCCCACGACAACACTGCAACCATGAAGGTTCTGGTGAGTAATAATACTCAACAATTACATGTGCAGTTTAGTAGAGTTCACTCAACCATGAAGGTTCTGGTGAATACTAATACTCAACAATTACTTGTGCAGTTTAGTAGAGTTCACTCAACCATGAAGGTTCTGGTGAATACTAATACTCAACAATTACATGTGTAGTTTAGTAGATTACATTCAACCAAGAAGGTTCTGGTGAGTACTAATACTCAACAATTACATGTGCACTATAGGGAAATATTCAAATGTAAGTTCAATGTTTGAATAAATTTGAAGGTTTTGGTACAGTGGCTAACCAAGAAACTTGCTTTGCTCTAAAAACTTTTGCTAAATATAAAACCTACTCCTAACAATACGTTTTCAAAACAAGATTTATATTTATGCAAGAAATTACGATACAGAATCAACAATCATAGTCATAATAATTTAGTAAAGCAAATCAGACATTTAAATGTTATGTGTTTCACGAGCATGTGATTAAATTCGCGATCATTTTCTAAACAGTTATCTTGAGTGCCAGTGGAGAAAAATATGCTTGAGGTTATATTATGGTTAGGAGGACGAAAGAACTTCGTTTAGGTGACCAATAACTGTCTACATGACAACCAAATAGTTACGTGTAATTCGTTTTAAAACGGTACCATAGCTTCCCCACCCATAGGCACTTACGTTTGAAGAAAGTGTCCGATCAATAGAAACTTGTGAGGTGACTAAGCTTCTGTCACTTCAAGGTTCACGCAGAACTATGCGGTGCTGAGAAACAATAAAACAAAAATTAATATTCCAAGCATTATATAATATAGCACCAGTTGCGTGAGGCATGAGAGTGAATGAGTGCCAATCTTTATTATAGTATTATTATAGTGTGAAAACTGAGGTTGATCATTTATAAAGAAATAACTAAATCTCCTACAAATTAAATATTCAGATATTTTACCCAAGTTTACGAAGTAGTTTTACTTCTAGGGTAAAACTTTACATAAAAACAGGGAAAATGAATACAGTTTCTATAAGCTCACTTTTTCTTAGATGGCTTGTCACACCTAAATGTTCATTATATGAAGAATTAACATTAAAATGTTTACTTTCATTTTCCTTGTCTTAGATCATCCTTCTCCAGCTAATGATATAATGTTGTGTGTACCGTCAGATCATCGTCCTGTTGGTGGGTCTGGCAACAGCAATGCCTCAACCAGAAGCTGACCCTAAAGCTGGCTTCGGTGGCTTAGGTCTCGGTCTCCCAGGTCTTGGAGGTGGCTACGGTCTCGGAGGTGGCTATGGTCTCGGAGGAGGATATGGTCTCGGAGGAGGATATGGTCTCGGAGGTCTCGGCTACGGAGGATATGGTCTCGGAGGCCTTGGAGGTTATGGTCTTGGCGGCGGCCTGTACGGCTAAGAGACCAGACCTTCCTCCTGTAATATGAGCATCTTCATGTGTCTAAGAATTACATATCCTCTGGATAATACAAATAAAATGACCTCTCCATCATGTATCAATACTGCATATCATCATTAAGAAAATAAACTTCTGAGCATCTGAATTTTTTTTGTCTCTGTTAAAAACCTCAATACACTTTGCATGTTTACTAGTTTATGTGATCATGTGAATTCACTTCCTTGCATGATCTCGCCTGTATTAATTCAGAGAAATATATAATCATTAATAAAATTAAGAAATGCCTTTGATCCAAATATATTAGTTTGCACATTTTTTTTTTTTTTTTTTTACTACTTTTTCAACTATTTCGTTCAGCGTTCGGATTTGCACCTGTCATGCTTTAAATTTTTTTAAGTGAACCAGAATGGTCATCCAGTCCATTCTCGCGAATGTTTATCACCATCATCTATAATTTTGGATCCGAAAATTGTCCAAGACTAAAGTAAACTTCTGGTGGACATACACCATGTAGTTGGGTTCACCTCTCAGTGTATTGTATTCTACCTGATCACAATACTCTCACTTAAGAATATTTTAGGCAATAGTTATCGTTCAGCTTTTCCTAACTGAACAAGCCTTAGGGTGATCTTAACGTTCTCGTTTACTATATCTCGAATATTTTCATCTGCCAAATATTTTTCCGCTGATATTTGCGTCTAATGGAAAACATTTAAATGAAAATTAATTTTAAACTCAATGCATTTGTGTTTATTTACACTCACACAGACACACAAACACATACACACACACACCACACACACACACACACACACGCGTGTGTACTGTGTGTGTGTGTGTGTGTGTGTGTGTGAGAGAGGAAGATCGTGAGAAAAAACCTGGTAACACATCTGGAGAGAAGGGACTTCGTGTGGGAACCGACCTGTGAGATTTATATTTATTTAATTTATATACTTCGATAGCAATTTGTATAATAATGAGTGGACTGTATTTCTGCAATAATCTCTTAATCTCACAAATCGATCCTCTACACATTAGGGGGGTTTATATTTATATGTATGCAGCCAATCAAACTACAGTAACTACATACATTGAAGAGGTTCCTTATCTTATAGTACAGCAGGTTAGTCCACCAGGTATAACTAGGGTGTAGACACCAAATTATCCTCTTTGAGGTAGCTTCCATATCACCCAGTAACTGGTGCACAAAATCTTGCATCCTCGTCTTGACCTGTCAAAAGTGCGCTAGCTGTGAAGCCAGAATCCTATATATGACAAGCTATATCAGAGAAAACACTATACAGTACATGGAACATTAAAGACCTGGCTTAATTACCTTTAGTATGAGGCGATTTCGCGTTCTAACCGGCTAACCCTATATCCTGACATTAATGGCCATAAATGAATGATAAACGGGTTTCGGATAGACACTTAACTTGTATTTGTAGACAGCGTGTTGACAATGGTACACCTTTGGGTTCCATAACACTACGTCCAAGTAAATTTAACAGGAGCCGAATTTGCTCCCGTGTGAGCCTCTGGTCTCGTATAACAATGATGGCTGCCCTCCTCCTCCACTCTGACGCCTGGCTTACATTGTCCAGATTTCAGAACGTGATAGAAGGGTCACATTTACTCTACTTTAATATTGATAATTAAGTTAATTTATATAAGATGTTTTTATGATGGTAAAGTCCAAAGACTAATGTATTTAAGAACAATTCCCAGCAGAATAGCTGGTGAATTATAATAGTATGTGGTGATGATATCCCGTTTTCTATAGACGGTAATTCCACTACAAGTTACGTTTTCTATGGGTAACTTGCTTATACAACAGCAATTATCTGTATGATTATTAAATGGGGTCGGATTTTCCGACATAATTCCCCAGGGGCTGCTCACGGGTCGAAGTCCTAATTAGAACAGACGACGAACACCGATACTCCTCCTTCGAATTATTACATTAATTTGATGTTAGTAGTTAGTAATCACACTATTGTGTGTCTGTTCGTACAGGACGGATGTCCCTCGTACTAGAGTTGCAGGGGTTAGAAGTCTAATGCGATTTCATTTCCCTGTCAACTCTTGAAAGGCTAATATTCAAAGCCTTATTACATATATATTAACCCAGAAGACTGAATGTGATCAAGTACTACAGTCAAGTATGATTCAGGGACTGCAGTGAGATCAGTGACATTAGATATAACTTAAAGTTTCTTCAGGTAACTGGTCACTGATATATAAACACTGAGGCCCATGGAATACATCTTGATTAAATATAAATGTA